TACGTTTACATACGATGCGTATTTTTTGGTGGGAATGGTGTGTTTCCATCTCCTTCTGCCTTTTCCCTTCTGTGACTCAGTTAGTGTAGATTACACAGCTGGACCTTGCTTCTTTAGCTATACAAAGTTTTGTGATCACTAGAGTGAGGCTTTCTGGGTCTGAGTCCTGGTCTACCGTCTTTGGACTGTGTGCCTCGTGGCAGTTCGTGCTCCAAACAGAGGCAATAAGGAGCTTATCACTGAGGGTTGTCATGATGATGTCTAGCACACAGTGTGAACTCAACAAATACTGATATTATTGCTGTTACATTTAATTGTATTTTTTGACCTATGACTATAAAAGCTGGGGGATTGGAGTGTTCACACTTTTGTACTGTCCTGATTTTCCCAGTGACTTTCATGAAAAAACTTAATGCTACATTGACAGACTATGCAGTATGTACATTTAGCTTTAAACCTGTACTTTCCAAATTTGATTCCATTTTATTCCTTGTTTTGTGCTGTCAGTGTTTACCTCCACTCTTTTCATCATAGTTTTTCCACACATTTTGTGACCAGAATTACAGTTAAAGTTCTATTTCTTAATACTTTGATAAATTTTTTATTCTGGTTGTTACCTTTACATTTGAACTCTTAATTTTTTATTTATGCATATTTTTATTTATATATGTCTGTACATATGTCCGGGTGCCCATGGAAGCCAGAAGAAGGCACCATATCCCCTGGAGCTCAAGTTATAAGTGGTTGTGAGCCACCCAATGTAAGTGCTGGGAACCAAACCTGGGTCCCTGGCAAGACCAGCAAGTGCTTTTAACCACTAAGTCACCTCTCCTGTCCTGTATCTGAACCCTTGGAATGACGATTTTGATGGGTGTTAAACACTGAGTGCTTCTGTTCTTTGCTTGAGTTTTCTGGAAGTATTTCACTGTGTTCTATTGCTGAATGCTTCAGTGGCGAAGTCTAAATCAGGCTTAATTTTTTTTTCTTTATTTTTATGTGAGTCAATAGTTTTATCTCACCATCCAAAGGATTCTTTTTCTTGAAATCCAGTCATGGTTAGTCCTAATATATGGTGTCTTTATTCTAGCCAAACACTGAGTCTTATATCCTCAGAGTTTTCTTGAAATGCATCTTTATGTATATACTTTTTGTTTTGTTATTTTATCTTTTTCTGGAAGTCAATCCATAGTGACTAACAGCCATCCGTAACTCCAGTTCCTGGGGATCTGACACCCTCTTCTGACCTCTGTGGGCATTGCATGACATGGGTGCATTTATATACATGAAGACAAAACACTCCTACATAAAATAAAAATAAATTAATTAATTAATTAATGAAAAAGAATAGTCATTATAAAAAGATACAGCATTAGGTACGTGAATGAAAGTCCATTGTAGGCTTGTAAATATCACACAGATATGATAAATGCATATATTGGCTATTTCTTTCAATTTACTTAACTGTTCAAAGGAGCATACTCCTATTTCTAGTTATCATATAGTGTAGGCACTATCATGTATGATTGTGTGATAACTGAATTTGTTTGCATAGATGAATCACGGATTTCCTGTCAGTTTGCTGACAGTTGCTGAACTGGATCTGTAAAGGTTAGCAGTTAAGAGAGGTCAACATTCCAAGAACCAGTAGTTAAATATAAATTAGATAGAGGTGAGTATATTCAATATGGGGCTGACAAGATGGCTCAGAACGTAAAGCACCCGCTGCCAAGCCCAAAGACTTGAGTTCGATCCCTGGGGTCCCCATGGTGGAAGGAGAGAACTGATTCCCACAAGTCGTCCTCTGACCTCCACATGTGCTTGAAGGCATGTGTGAAACTCTCACACCAACCGACTGACTGATTAACTAACAAACAAACAAACAAACAAATAAATTTAACATTGTTTAAAAAGATACTAAACACAGAACCCCAGTCACTTTATAATTATCAATTTGATTTTCTCTGTACAAAACCAAGCCTATGGTGCACTTTCTATTTGGAAGCAGACCTGACTACATACTTCATGGAGTCTAGTACCAAATGAAAATGCAGGACCCCTGGCTTAAAAATTAGTAAGGATTTCAAGAGACTATCAGCACAAGATGAAACCAAAGGTGGGGTCCTTCTAAGAACTGGGGCTTGCCTGTGAAGATGGCTGTGCCTGTTGAGCAGGATTGATGGCACATTTAATCAAACAGTGATTTCATCAGGACAATATGACTCTTATAAAAAAAAAGAAGATGGAGAAATTTTGAGCTTTCGACACATGTTTTTAAGATGCCTGTGTTAAACAAGGTGAAGTGTGTGCTCACAGTGGACCTTTTTCATTATCTTCTCAAGGGTTTGAAGCCTCATTCTTCTTTCATTGATGCATAGAGATAATGTGGTGTGTCTGCATCATTGGATTGTGAGAGAATTAAATGAGTTAATATATGCAAGATTCTTAGAAGCAAGTGCTTACAGCTTCTGACCATCCAGTGTGGTGGTGGTTGTTGTTGTTGGTGGTGCTGTGCTGTGCTGTGCTGTGCTGTTCACGTGAATCATTGCACCCAGGAAAAGAAGATTTTAGAAAAGAACTTTCTGCCATTTGGAGCTGCGGGAAGAGATTATAAAGAAGATGGGCAAATGAATGGTTTTAAAGTTTGAGAATAATTAGAGGAGGGCTGCGTCCATGGAAATGGAGGGGTGGGAAAGCAGCAATTACATTCTTAATGTGGTTTTTTTCTTTGAATGCTTTTAATTCAGAGTAGTTAGGACAGAAGTCTGATGATATGAAATTAAAGGGTAGCAAGAATGTGGAGGTCACTGTTCTATTAATACATTTAGAAGTGAAGGCGAAATGGCAGCCTGGTCGAAGGGCAGACCAATTATGGGACACTTCCCTCCCATTAACTCTTCTTTCTGATGAGAATTTTGCCCAGGGCCTGACTTGTGTCTTCACTCAATACTGACTTCATGGACAGAATACTTCATCACCAGAGCAGCATTGCATCTTAGGGTTGTTTGAGAGTGCAGGGTACCAGGACCAGCACCAAACTGTCTTTCTAGCTTAATATGACTGAGAGAATTTGTGCATGTTTCTTTGATAATCCCTTACCATTTTGGAATAGATAACCTTTCATTCTTTTTTGTTTTGTTTTGTTTTAAATAACTTATTGAGAATTTCATGCATGCATATAAAGTGTTTTGATCAAATCCACATGCACTCCGTTTCATTCTTTTTTATTTGTTTCTTTCTTTTTGATTTACAAAATATGAGAGTCCAAATCTGACTCCAGAGCCCATGCCCTTTTATTTACTCTTCAAGACTAAGAAGAAATAGCGTCAAGAACAAAAAGTAGTGCCAAAGAGGGCAAGAACGCTTGCTTGAACGTCGGCCATGCTGAGTACCTAGAGTTAGAAGAACAAGGCACCTGAGGAGAAGCCAATTCATCTTCCCACTCCCTTTGTTTGTGGGGGACAAAACCCTAATGGCAATCGAGAGGCATCAAGACACCAACAGAGGATGGTGAAAATCTGTTGATGGACCCCTCCACGCTGTGGGGCAGGAGGCTTTGATCAGATCGGCTGTGTCAGAGCTTGGGGTCTGGCTTGAGCTCTCTCAGCTTTGTCCTATTCCTGTGGTGGGGGACCTTGGATGTGGGGTGGAGAGGCCACACAAATAATTTGTATAATACAATGTATGAAAGCTAAATCCCAAGGAAGAGAGAGTTGTGTGTTCTGAAAGAAAATCTGTCAGCAGTGAATTCAAATTATTGTAGAGAGATTGGTGAATAGTGTCCATGTGGGGGAAGCCAGAGATGACCAGGGCTAGATCTATGTTATAGACCTTAAAAGGGAAGCAACAGGCTGTGGCTGTCAGCTCATGTGTTGCCCGTTTCTTCTCTAAGAATAGCTTGTCCTTGAAGAAGAAGTAGATTCTGTCAGAATGCCCATAAAAAATGCCAAATCTGGGCTGGAGAGATGGCTCAGCGGTTAACAGCACTGACTGGTCTTGCAGAGGAGCTAGGTTCGAGCCCCAGCACTCACATGGCGGCTACGAACCGTCCTTAACTCCAGTTCCAGGGGAATCTGAAGCCCTCTTCTGACCTCCGCGGCATTGCATGACATGGGTGCACTCACATACATGCAGGAAATACACACATACTCATAAAATAAAAGTAATAAAATATTTTTTTAAATGCCAAATCACCTGAAGGAAATTCCGATTAAAGAAGTTGGCAAGATGTCATGATTAAGAGCTGGGCTTTTAAGGTAGATGTATTGCTATTCAAGGCCAGGGCCTGACACATTAACTTATTTTCTCTGCATCTATAAAATCTGACACTACTGTTTGTTACGCTTGAAGGGAAAACATGAAATAAGCCTGTGGACAGTTCGGAGCTGAGCAAACACTCACGTGGTACCTCCGTGGTGACAGGCAGCATTGCCATCTGTTACAGATACGGGCTTCGCGTTTCTGTCTTCTGTGTATGAGTATCAGGGTTTCCAGCACAATGAACTGGAGAAGCTGCCATTTCGCCAGTGAATGTTTGACATGACATTAGCATGGACCTAATTAGATTATTGTGGAATGTGTGTATTTAACACAAATGTCTGGCAAAGAGCAAGTACTTATGTTACAAATGCTTGCTTTTGATGTGTACATGTAATTAATAATATAGATGATCTCTTGATTTATGTTCTTTTTCTTGAGGTAGGGGCGCACGTATCCTAGACTGACTTTATACTCACTATGTAGCTGAGGATTAGCTTGATTTCTGATCCTCTTGCTTCCATCCCCCAAATGCTAGGATTACAGGCATGCACCACCACGCCGTTTTTTGATGCTGTGCAGAGAATCAAACATAAGATTTTGTGAATGCTGGGCAAGCACTCTACCATGGAAACGACATTCCTTGCCTTTGAATTATGTTTTATCGGTCTATAACTGGTTTTAATTGAGACGTGTTAAGAACTCAATCGCAACAGTAAATATGCTTAAATTCCCTTTGATTTTAGTTCATTGGAAATCCTGGGGTTCAGAAATGTGGATTGAAAGTGATGTCTTCTCTAGTACATCTTCCCGAAGCCTTAGAGGTATTGTCGCTGCATGGTGCCGTTGATACCATCCTTCACACACTGCAGATGTACCCAGATGACCAAGGTTGGTACAGGTGGCGCTCAGGACTTAGAGTTTTATAGGCCACTCACTATTAGTTGGCTCTTTAATTTTTTCTTCTGTTTTGAGGCTGAAAACAGCATTTTTACTTTTTTATTCTAGAAATTCAGTGTCTGGGCTTAAGTTTAATGGGATGCTTAATTACAAAGAAGAATTTATGCATTGGAACAGGACACCTCCTGGCAAAAATTCTGGTTTCCAGTTTACAGCGATTTAAAGATGTTGCTGCAGTACAGGCTACGGTGCGTACGTGAGCGTGTGTGGATTTAAATTTCAGAGTAGTCTTGTAATTCCCACTTTCCATTAATGAGACAGCCTAGTTGATTAAAAACCGTTTATCATTTTGCAGTACTTTAATTATAGAAGGTGCAGAAAATTGGATCTCCTCTCTAAAGACCCAGCATTTATTATGAAATCTTTTGGGGAAGACCCATAAAAATGCTAATGAAATTCCAGTAGTTGATTTGCTTTTGCTAAGATTTTGAATAAATACAAGTTATTATTATTTAAAATATTGCCATTCTCTGTGATTTATCATTTGCTGACTGCCTCAAGTAATTTCGCTTCTTGATTTTTTTCTATAATGAAGTAATATTTGTAAATAATTTTCACCGAACAGTATTTAAAGCATGATATGTAATAATTGTCTTTACGAAGAATTCCAAGATGGCCTTAAGAGATTAAGAAATTAATTGTTCCTGAGTGTGTGTTGTATACATACTCCAAGACTGCTTGAGCCCAGAACTTTGAGGCCACCTCGGGCAACACAGTGAGACCTCCACACCTACAGAAATTATATGTTTCATTTGCTTTTGAAATTTTAGCAAAATAACGAGCTCTGCCTTGATTGTAGTAATAAAGTTTGCATGTTTATTGAACCCCACTCAAAACATGTTTTCTTAAATGACAAAATTAGCCACATAAAAGCTAACCAATGAAAGCATCTAGCTCTCACCATTGCACAGAAATTTTCAGTAAATCGGTAATGTAGGTAAAGTGTTTTTATTAATCGTGAAATGCTGAATATGCTCCTCTGTTATAGCTGAGCAGGAATCTATTTTATAAACTTGTGTTTTGTAAAAACTGGATTTAAACTGATTAAAGCCATGGCAGAATTAATTAAGAGCAATCCAAGAGAAGGAAGTGACTTTGTGTGGGTATGGGGCTCAAGCTACTTTGGATTAATTCATGACCCTGTCTGCACAATTTTGCAAAATTCTGGCTTTGCTGCCAAATTTTCATGTGCAGAAATTTCTGCTCTCTAGGCTGTGAGCCGCATGCCTCTTTGAACCGTTAATAATTAAATGTATTTTTTAAAAGAAAGTCAGATACTAGTATTTGTAGAGCTCAAACTAATTTTATTATGTACACAATATCATTCATATGCTATTGTAGAGGTTAAGCTGACCTTTTGTGAATTTACCCATGGTAATTAATACTACAGGAATGCAAGGAAAGGGTCCTTCCTCACAGCACTGCATGGGCAGAGGCCAGGCCAGCCTGGGGGATGAGCTTGAGGTGGTCCTAAAAAGCAATGGTGCTCTTTACGAGGAACCTGCTGCAATAATGTACCCGTACGTTGCCCTAGAGGTTCCATCAGTGCACTCAGCAGGGATGAAGTCCAGGAGGACTCACTTGTCTTTGATGTAGAACTTTCAGAAGACATCATGAAAACGTGGAGAAATGCTGGGCTCTGGAGAATGCCTGTGCGCCAATGCCCCTTGGCTGGTCTGCTTATACCCATCACCCCGCTGCTCTTCACTGTTTAATCCCAAGCAGCATCTGGCTTTCTTCCTACATTCTAGTGTGACTTCGGAAAGACTTCTTTAAGCCACATTTGAGGTGGAGATATAAGTGTTTTTCCTGCTTTGTTTGAAGATGGTTTGTTGATTTGTTTTTGTTCTTGCTGTATTTCTTAGTCTCAAAATATCAAGGAATATTTAAAGAGTGCTTCAAGATTTACAGTGCTCAGGTACAAACCCAAAGACATCTACTTAGTTAAGTGAGCACACTAGGTACTAAAATAATCATAGCTAAACTCTGCTTTAGATCATTTATTCTTTTTCGCCTAGAACTGCTTGTAATATTTACTGTGATTGTTATCCTTCACACTTTCAGGGATTGCAGACCGTCTTGGCAATCCTTGAGCTCTCAGTGCCGTTTGCTAAGCTGCTGGTGCATCATTCATTTGATTTGGTAATCTTCCTCCAGATGTCTTCCAGTGTCATGGAACCAAAGGATGAGCAGGTATGGCGTCGTGACCTGTGGGCAAGACATCATGATGTCATCCCTCTAGCTGGCTCTCATTCTCAGTTCCGTTCCTTTAGTTTCTCAACCTGTGTTGCAAATGCTTTGCAAAACTGGCTGCGGATGATGAGTTGAAAAATGTAATGCTGGAGAGAGCGTGCGACCAGAACAACAGCGTCATGGTTGAATGCTTGCTTCTGTTGGGAGCTGATGCCAATCACATGAAGGGGGCGACTTCATTAATTTATCAGGTGAATGTTCAAGACCTTTGCTTTTGTTGTGTTCCAGTATGTGGCCCTTGTATAACTCTTCTTCCTCCACCTCTGCCCAGTGTTAAAAAAATCCAGATTTATTGAGATATAATTCAAATACCATACAATTCATGCTTAAAGTACATAAGTGTTGCAGGCAGCGAGGGTGGCCTGTAGGTTCTCTGTGTTGGAATATAGATTGTCCAGACAGAGATGCCTTTCAATAAATGCTGAGTTTATTCCACACCAACACAAGGCATAGGCGTTCCATATATCACATATGCCTTAATCATAGTAAGGATGAACCAAGTCACAGTTATCATGCTCAAGGGGGCTCACCCTCTCCATGTCACAGAGTAAAAATCAGGCAGTCCGTGGGGTTCAGCCATGATGGTCCTCTCGACGGCCTTTCAGCAGTGTTCAACAGCATCACACAAGCCAGCAGCTGGCTGGAGGAAGGCACCGAGGTCTGGGTTCCTTGAGAGCCCCAGTCTGTAGAGGAGATCTGCCTGACTGTGGGGCTCAAGGTCCTCAGCTGAGGTGCCAAACCATCAATGGTCACCAGATATGAACCTCAAACAAAATTAAAGTTTAGTTTTTCTGTAGACTCATGACAGTTTACTTTTTGTGAATTTTATTAAAATAGGAGTCTGCAGTGTTCACCACTATATTTTTTCAGAATATTGAATTCATAGAACTGCTGTGACTGTTCTTCTGGTGATGTAAACAAGCATCTGTTCGCCCCAGACTGGGGACATCAACAGTTGATCAAAGGAATAACTCCATGCCCAGCCTGGTAATTTACTGGGGTTACTTACAGGAACATAGGTGACTTAAAAGCAGCTACATCATAGGAAAGCCCACTCTAGTATGGGTGAGGACTCAGGAAAGTTGCATCCCTGGATCTTCCTGCCCAGCTTATAGGAAGCTCTATGGAGTGTCTTCTCACCCCTCTTGTGTCTAATGAGCCTCTCCCCTCCCTCCTGGAGGGAACGTATCAATTTGGAGTAAATAGATATGCAACAAGTATATGTGTAATAAATATTTACTAAAATGCATCATCTACATTTTAGGTGTGTCTTAGTTATATAATTTTAAAGTTTATAATAGCATTCAGATACGATAGTGTCTATTTTTAGAAATCTAATATTATTAGCAGAATGATTATATTTCCATTTAATATGTGTTAATTAATCTTTATTTTATGGGTTTGATTGTTTTGTCTGCCTGCTAAGTGCACCATGTGCATACAGTGCTGGTGGCGGTCAGAAGAAGGCATCAGATCCCCTGGAACTGGAGTTACAGGTGGTTGTTAGCAGCCATGTGGGTGCTGGGAACCAACCTGGGTCCTCTGCAAGAGCAGTCATTCTTCTTAAGCACTGAGCCATCTCTCCAGTTACTTAATATAGATTATCTAAAAAATCAGTGGAGTAACTTTTAAAAGCTATCCTTACACTTACTTATTTTGTATACTTGGATACACTTACATGTGTGAGCATGTGAATGCCATGACGTACATGTGGAAGTCAGACAGCTTGTGAGAGTTGGTTCTCTCTTTCCACCATGTGGGTCCTGGAACCCACATGGAACACAGGTTCTCAGGAGGGATGGAGAGTGCCTTTACCTACTGAGCCACCTCAAGGGCCATGGAGTTACCTTTATCTGCTTTCCAATAACTTATTTTTGTCTTACTTATTTAATTTTCTATGTTGGGTTCAAACCTATTTGCCAAGTGGAAGTTTAAGTTGGCACATATTGGTAATCAGCATGAAGAGAAATGGAATGTACAACTTTTTGTATACTATTATGTTTTTGCATTGAAACCAAATGATCGCATTATATAAATTTAATGAAAATTCTTTTTTTCTGTCAATAGTTCAATATGCCTTTGTTATGCATCTGTGTGCAGAACACTGTGCACTTGGATAGGCCAAGAGCTAAAAGGAAGCTTCACTTTCCTAGTTACTAGGGAAACAGTCCAGTGGAAAATGCCCCAGTGCTATTGCACAACGAGCCTGCAGAAAACGCTTTTTCCTCCTCTTCTACCTAGCCAGCCTTTCTGTGTGAAAGACTGCACTTTATTTCACTTCTTAAAACGCTTTTTGGACTTCATGCACTTGTTTTTATCTCCCTTTCTTAAAACGAGACCCTGGGGCTGTAGCCCGGTGGTAAAATGCTTGCTTAGCATTCAGAAAGCTGCAGTTTTGAGCCGTACAACCACTATAGTAATAATAACTACAACAACAATAATAATATAAAAATGTCATCTTTACATCCAAACAAAATAAATAAATAAATTTAAAAATCTTACCTTTCAGGGCTGGAGAGATGACTCAGCAGTTAAGAGCACTGACTGCTCTTGCAGAGGACCCGGGTTCAATTCCCAGCACCCACATGGCAGCTACAAACCATCCTGAACTCCAGTTCCAAGGGAATCTGACACCCTCTTCTGACCTCTGTGGCTTTATATGACACGGGTGCACTCACATACATTCAGGCCATACACTCGTACACATAAAAAAAAAAAATCTTACCTTTCCTTCCATGGATTGTATAGTACGTATATAAAATATACCGTAATTGTCAGAGTTGGTCTGTACCAAGCAAACAGCTAATTTTGTGGACATATTTACTGAATGTACTTTATTTTGTGCTAGTGCAAAATAAAGTATTCAGAACTATTTAATCATTTACTCAGAGGTTGCATAAACAAACCCATTCAGACAAAGCTGAATTTAATGGTACTGCACTTTTTGAGAATTAAATGATGTAATATACATGATTGGCAGAGAATGTGGAGGGTTAGCAATCAACATGAAAATACAGGGACAGAAACAGAACCGCACGAACCCAACTTCGAAGGGGAGGGTAATGGCGTCTCTTCAGATCACCGACTTGCAGCTGTCAGATTTATGGTAGCCTTGTAGTTATAGCAATAATCTTTTTATTGTTCTTGTCTATTGTAAGAAGAAGTTTTGCCTTATTTATTTTGTTTCAACCTAAATTTGAGGTGTTAAAAAAAAAAAGGTATTAAGTCAAATTGTCAATCTTGCCAAAGGGAAGAAAGGCAGGTTTTATATCTACTTTCTTTTTTTATGTTTGGAAAATAGGTATGTGAGAAAGAGAACAGTTCAAAGTTGGTGGAACTGTTGCTTAACGGTGGGTGCCGTGAGCAGGATGTGCGGAAAGCACTGACAGTAAGCATCCGGAGAGGTGACAGCCAGGTGGTCAGCTTGCTTTTGAGGCGGCTGGCCCTCGACCTGGCCAACAACAGCATTTGCCTTGGAGGATTTTGCATGGGAAAAATCGAACCTTCCTGGCTTGGTCCTCTATTTCCAGACAAGTCATCTAATTTAAGAAAACAAACAAGTAAGTATCAACGAACATATTCTCTATAACCTTTTTTTTTTTTTTTGAGACAGGGTCTCTCTGTAGCCCCAGATAGACTGGAACTCGCTATGTAGACCAGGTTGGACTCAATCTCACAGAGATCCACCTGCCCCTGCCTCTAGAGTGCTGAGGTTAAAAGAGTGTGCCACCATTCCTGCCTTGCATCACTCCTATTATAAGTGTAATTACTAATAGCAATGTTTTGAAGTGTTGATTTCTAAATCCAGGACTAATACACGGGAGGAAGGCACTTTACCACTGAGCTCCTGGATGCAGACTTATCACATTATGTGATTGAATTTTTCTTTCTACAGTCTACTTTTTGGTAGATGATAAGTATCATGAAGTGGATGTTGAACTCTGAGCTTTTATGCTGGGGCTTTACATCTAATATACGATGATGGATGTTTATAACATTGAGAAAGAAAAGTCGGTAGTGGGTATCTGAAAGCACATGTGTAAACAAGCACTTCACACAGTAACAGTGATCACAGTTGTTTTTATTGTTTTTCTTTTTTAAATCTCTAACGTTCTTTTTGTGGACGTCTGTAGTATCTGTTGCTGTTTTCAGCTTATGCACATTTTTTTAATTTCATAAACTGATATACTAAATGTACATTTGTATAGGACACATACTTTTGACTCATCAAAATTATTATTAGGCATCCATGATACAAACATACCTTGTGCACAAGGATAGACATTAAAATTTATTTATGATAGCAAAAGATTGGGGAAAAGGCCTAAGTAGTCCCCTGGAGAAATAGTCAAATAAACCACGGAAAATTCATCCAGAAATGCTCTGCAGTTACTTGGGAAAACACGTAGCAAGCCCGAATGTTGATAGAAAATGCATGGAGCGTCTCAAGCAGGAGGATGGTGAGGCCAGCCTGGTGACAGAGTGAGAGCCTGTCTCCAGAAACCATTCAAAATGTAGACTAGGCTAACCTTGAATCTGTGGCAAACCTCCTGCCTCTGCCTTTCAAATTCTGAGATTACAGACGTGAGTCACCATGCCCAGCTTTGTTCTCTGATTTTGATGGAGAGGGATTGTGGTCCTGGGTGGAGACTTAGCATTCTTTGTGAAGTTCTTACACTGACATGTCTCATGTAATTTTTTTTTTTTAAAGTCAGTGTCATTTGACTGACTGGAAGTTACAATCATGATTTCATTGGCAGTTGGTCTAAAAGGAAATTTTGGATTTGTGACTTTGAAAGGTTTTTTGGGTTCTACCTGACTGAGTCATGTACAGCACATAGAATGTGAGTCAGGAAAGATTATTTAAAGAAATCTCAAGTCTTCGCAGATCGATGGTGACTCTGTCAGATATTTTTCGTAGCAAAGAGTAAGGTAAAATGCAATAAAAATTTGAGAAGAACATTAACCTTAAATTTCCATCACATGAACCGCTCAATAAATTTTATCATTTATTTAGCATCTTCTATGTCCTAGGCATTATATAAGCTTTTAAAATCATCACACTTTTTGAGTTTTTCTATACCTTATGCTGAATGTGTTATCTGCACTTTTCGGGTGAACTGATTGGTCCTTAGAGAGCTTGTACTCCTTACAAGTGGCGTTCCTGTCATTTGCAAACAGGCCTGTTTGGCTTCACAGCCCAGCCTTTCCTGAATCAAGTCAGTTTCATAATGATTCACATTGGCCACTTATGCCACAGCTTTAGATAAATATTGATGGTATTTGAAAATTTTAAATTGACCCCTGGAAATGTACTGCAATTGTCAAGAGACTTTGGGAGGAAAATTTAAAGAATTCTTTAGAACCACGAGACATGTAGAAGGACGTGAGTAAGATGTATTTAAGCTGGTTGTCTGTTGGTTTCTAAGTGTCTGGTCTATTTCTTCTTTTAGACGTAGGCTCTGTGCTAGCGAGAATGGTACTCCGATATCAGACGAAAAGTGCAGTGGAGGAAGGAGCCTCAGCTGGCGATGGGAGCTTTGCTGAAGACGGTCTACTTCATAAATTGGATGAATGGACCTTCCTTCCCGATTCGTCTATGGACAGCGTGTTTGGTCAAAGCGATGATCTGGATAGTGAAGGTATCGATTATGGCGTCTGGGCCCCTCCCTTTATGGTTTATAATACATGTTGGAACTCAGTCTAAAGCCTTCTTTAATTCATTTTAAAAATGAGTAAAATGTGATCATTGTTGAAGACAATTGTATTTCCTAACATGAATTAAAGCACTGGCTCAAGGGACATACTTGACCAGTGCAAATCAGAGAACTCGGTCCGGGTCACTAGCAAGAATACTCACTTATTCACACTGGAGCAGCGTTCCAAGTGGCCTTGTCCACTAGATTTCTGTGGCTTGTGTCCATTCCTTAACCTTATAAAAGGTAGTGCCAGCCTTCAGGTTATGGGTGAGAAATCAAGAAAGTCTAACTAAAAGGTCTGACCGTTCTTGGCAAATACTTCTTACCTTTATTAAGATTTAAACAATAGCGATATTTTAAGCTCACTTGACATAACAATTGTAATGGGAAGATGTATAAGGATAGCGGTTATGACTGACATCAACACAATGTAGGTTTAAAATGGGGTTAAGGGGCTTTAAAATTTTTTTTATTTTCAAAAATTTTTTTTTTAGTGTACAAAGTAGTGGACTTGATTGTGACATTTAAATCACGTGTGTCATTGTGCTGCACTCATGGTCATGCATTTTCATCTGTGCCCTCCTCTCCCCTGCTGCTAATCCGCTTCCTCCCACAAACAGCCCCTCCTGCCTTCCTCTCATGTGTCAATGCAAATGACATAATGTCATCCTTTTTGTATAGTTGAATAGAACCTCAGTGTGTATATACACCTCCATTTCTTTGTTCATCCACTGATGGACACCTAATCTGATTCCGTATCTTCGCTGTTGCAAACAGAACCCCAATAAAGGATGCCTGAGCCACTTTGTAGAGGGTGAGAGTTTGCCTTGTTGGCAGGGCTGTCTTTCCTCTAATGTGTACTTCTGTCAACGTTTTAAAGTCAAGTTTCTGCAGCTGTGTGGGTTGATTTCAGGGTCCTCTATTTTTCATGTCTGTTTTTGTGCCAGTGCCATGCTGTTTTTATGTCTATGGCTCTGTAGTATCATTTGATGGGGATTTGTTGGTTTGTTTTTTGTTTTTTTGAGACAGGTCTCCCTATAGCCCCCACTGGTCTGAAACTCACTATGTAGACCAGGCTGCCCTTGACCTCACAGAGATCCACCACACCCAGCTTGTAGTATAATTTGAAATCCAGTGTTGTAATACCTTTCTAACATTACTCCTTCTGTTTAGGGTTGCTTTGAATACTTGGGGTCTTTTGTACTTATATATGAATTTTGAATACTTTTTTTTTCTAGTTCTGTGAAGAATGTCATTGGAGATTTTTATGGGGATTGTGCTTAATTTGTAAAGCGCCTTAGTTTGGCATTCTATTTTTACAATATGAATTCTGCCTATCCACGAGCTCGGGGTTTTTTCTATCTTCTGCAATCTTCTCTAATTTCTTTATCCAGTGTTTTAAAGCTTTCCTTGTAAAGATCTTTTCATCTCCTTGATTGGTTTTATTTTTACATTTTTATTTTCTTTAAGTTATTGGGAATGGGAGTCTTTTGCTGATTTCTTTCTTGGCAAATTTGTTATTGTCATATAGAAAAGCTATCGATTTTGTGTCCTGATATGTGAAAGGGTTTATCAGTTGAGAATGTTCATCAGTTGTGAGAGTTTCCTGGTGGAGAATTTAAGGTCTTTGAAGTATAGGCTCTGTCATCTGTAAATAAGAATAATTTGGCTTCTTCCTCTTTTTTCATTATCTAAGAGGCTTTTTATCAACATAGTCTGACTGAAACTTTAGGTGAGAAGAGTCAAAGTATTTGAGATGGCAGAAAGCACAGGGTTTCTCCAAATATTGTATTTCAAGTCTAAATATTTTTTGCAAATCAACTTCAGTGAAATACTATGGACATAAAACAAGTTATGTTCTTATAAATATGTATTTGGGGGCCTTAAAAATGAAAGCACCCCTGTAATCATCCCCACTGTCAAGTTGGGCGACGTTCTGTCATCCAGAAAAATTCCTTTATATATCTCCACAAAAATAGAACCATACCAAATATGTTCTTTTGTGTCGGGCTATTTTCCAGTGATGGTACAGTGTCATACTCACCAGATAAACCCAATAATCTTAGTTGCTGTACCTCTTTGTCAATGCTTGTCAGCAAATTGTATCTTAGCTGTTGCAGCGGAAGTCGAGTCTTCTCCTGTGTGGGCTTACTTGCATTTCCCTCGTGACCAATACTGTTAAGGATTGTTCGCTCTTGTTGACTGTTCATTTATTTTCTTTTAGACATGTCTATTTCAGTAGTTAGTTGGGTTGTTATGTTATGGTACTATAAGAGGTTTTTTAAAAGTATATACTGGGTAGTATATGACAGATACATGTATGTAGATATTTTTTCTCAAGTATAACTTCCCTTCTCATTCATGGCATCTTTCAAAGAGCACAGAGTTTAAGTTTGGGTGAATTATACTTATTGATTTTTATTTCACATTTTGATCATTCTCTGTGTCTTTTAGGAAACCTTTCCTAGTCTCAATGTATGACTCGTTTCTCTTTAATGTGCAGGCTTATAATTCATTCTAGGTCTATTTAAAATTTACAGCAATTTTTATTTTTATTTATGTGTATGTGTGTGCACATGTGCTTGTGAGCACACATGTCCATGGAGTCCAGAAGAGGGCATGGGATCCCCTGGAGCTGGAGTTAACAGGCAGTTTTGAGTGTGGTGCTGGGAACCAAACTCTGATCCTCTCCAAGAGCAGCCAGTGCTCTGAGCCACTGAGTCATCTCCACAGCCCCCAATTCTACAATCTTTATTAGCTTATCTATTAATTCTTGGACTGAGTGTTGTAAGTTTCTGGTGTTCTTTTCAAAGTTGTTCTTGCTATTTCAGCTTCTTTGTGTGTGTGTGTGAGTGTGTATGTGTCTCTGTGTGAGTGTGTGTGTCTGTGTATGTGTATTATGTGTAGTGTGTGTGTATGTGTGTGTATTTCAAAACAACTTTGCTGGTGTCCCAATTTATATTTTCTGTGCATACATTTAATAATTAATAAATAGGCTGGGTGTGGTGGCACATGCCTTTAATCCCAGCATTTGGGAGGCAGAGACAGGCAGATCTCTGGGCGTTCAAGGCCAGTCTGGTTTACATAGTGAGTTCCAGGCCAGCTGAGACTTCAGGGAGACCCTGTCTCAAAAAGACAGAAAAAATAAATAAATAACACAATGTGATTGTATTGTGTTACTTGATGGTATTCACTTATTTTCTGATTTGTAAGTCTGACTTTTCCTCACTACATGGCTTAGACCTTCAGTTCATGTTGAACAGAAGTGGCAGACAAGGGATCCTTCCTCGACTTCTGCACTCGGGGGGTGGGCGGGGGCACTGCTGGTCCAGTGTCATCAGTGCAGCAGTGACATAGTTTTTCAGAAATGCCCCTCAGTAGCTTGCGGAAGCTACTTTACGTTTGTCCCCAGTGGCTATAGATGTTGGGGAATTCTTTTCAGCCTCTTCTGAAATGTCTGTGTCTACATTAATGTGGCTGATTGTGTTGATTGGTTTTCTAATGTTAAACCAAATTCGTAATTCTACGGTAACCCCACTTGACTTTAGTAAAGTGTCCGTTATGTGCTGCTGCATTTTCTTTCTAAAATGCTGCTAAGGATTTTGCTTCTGTGAGTCATACAGATCAATAGTTTCATACTTGATTACGCTTATGAGAACTGAGCTGATGTCCTCAGCCAGGGCCTTTTCCTAATCCACAGATTCTGAGTTTGTGGAGGGACACTGTTTTTTCTTCACTGTTTGATAGGACTCTCCAGTAAAACTCATATGAGCTTGGGATTTGAGGGGTGGGGCAGCATTTTAAATTATAAATTTAATAATAGTTTGTGTTTATTCTTGTTTTCTTTTTGTCCATGAGTCAGTTTTAGTAGCTTGTGATGTACAGGGAACATGTCCATTTTACATAGGTTGCCAGATTTATCTCATGGATTCAAATTGAGTCTCTTATTAATTAATATTTGAAGGACTTATGGTCGTATCTGGTCTTTTATTCTTGGCGTTAGCAGTTTCAATCTTTTATTTCAATTCAGTTTGCTCAAAGTTAATAAATTAAATTGCTTTTTTTTCACAGAACCAAATGTTTGTGACATTGATTTTTTTTCTATGGCTTGGTTGCCTGGTGTTTTCATTATTTTTGTTTTTTAATTCTTTTGCTGTAGTCTGTAGTATTTCCTTTACTTACTGTTTTAAAAGTTGGGTATTAGTTGTCTCTTTCTGTGGGTTCTTTTTTAGGGGGTCATTTTTCATTTGTGTGTGTATAGTATGTGTGTGTTTGTGTGTCTATATGTGTGTGTGTAGTGTCTGTGTGTCAGAATATGTATAGTGTATGCATGTTTCTGTGCATGTGTTCAGTGTTTGTGCATCTATGTGTGTGTAGTTATATATATGTGTGTGTAGTGTATATATATATGTGTATGTAGTGTATATATGTTTGTAGTATGTGTGCACGTGTAGAGTGTTGTGTAGTGTATGTGTATGGGAATGTGTTTAGTGTATGTGTGTGTGAATCTGTAGAGTGTGTGTGTAAAGTGCATGTGTATGGAATGTGTGTAGTGTATGTGTGTGTGAATCTGTAGAGTGTGTGTGTATGTGTAAAGTGTATGTGTATGGAATGTGTGTAGGGTATGTGTGTGTGCATGTGTAGAGTGTGTGTAAAGTGCATGTGTATGGGAATTTGTGTAGTGTATGTGTGTGTGCATGTGTATGGGAATGTGTATAGTGCATGTGTGTGTGCATGTGTATGGGAATGTGTGTAGTGTATGTGTGTGTGCATGTGTAGAGTGTGTGTGTATAAAGTGTATGTGTATGGAATGTGTATAGTGTATGTGTGTGTATGTGCATGTGTAGAGTGTGTGTAAGGTGTATGTGTGTGGAATGTGTGTAGTGTATGTGTGTGTGCATGTGTATGGGAATGTGTATAGTGCATGTGTGTGTGCATGTGTA